TCCTCATGCTGTTGATGAATTTTTTGTTGCTTAGAGAGGATCTCCTTGTGCTACTGTCTTTATTGTGGTTTGTCTGGTTGGAACGTGCAAATTTTGTTTTACCACTGCATTTTCATTTAAAGGGACAGGGAAGCATGCAGTAATCAAATGTGATTTTATGGTACAGTTCTTGGTAAGAGACATTTCTGAAATCCAGCAATACACATACCACAAGTCATGTAATTTTGTTACTGTTGGTTTTGTTGAAATGTCCCACATCGACCATATCAATGACAAAAATAAGAGTTTAAATAGCCTAATCTCATTCCAACTAATACCGAGACCTTTTGTGATAAAACCTCACACCTGAAGGATTGTGCAGGTGGTAATTACCAAGTTGGGGACAATATCGGTGTTGTTGGAAATGGGCTGTATGACCCGTTTCTCTGATAATTCTACATGGTATCAGAACCAATGAGCGGGCCCGTACCGTACTGCCACGTGATGGGTGGGTCCCTTTGGCCCCGCGCTATGATGGTGGGTCCCTTGGCCCCGCGTGTAAGGTAAGTCCCCTTGGCTCCACATGGTTATCGATGTGTGGATCTTCCACATGTGACCTGTTAATTGGGTCTCACATGAGAAGGCGTGTTGAAATGTCCCACATCGACCTTATCAATAACAAAAAGAAGAGTTTAAATACTCTAATCTCACTCCAACTAATACCGAGACCTTTTGTGATAAAACCTCACACCTGACAGATTGTGCAGGTGGTAATTACCAAGTTGGGGACAATATCGGTGTTGTTGGAAGTGGGCGGTATGGCCGTTTCTCTTGATAATTCTACAGCCTTCATCACCCTTAGTTTCATATAGAACTGCTGATGATGACATTGTCGAACCATTCCCATATGATCTGTCAGATGATGACGATCCTTGGATTATGACCAGAAAGTTTACTCCTAGTGGGGCTATTGGCGTTGCAATTTTTACAAAGTTTCAATACCCACCCGACATGGTGCAAAGTTAAACAAGGTCATGAGTTATTTTAGAGAACACATGGTGGTGGAGATTTGCTTAAGATAGCCTCCTAAGGTTTGGGATGAACCTGATTTTGGAATGCCTGCTCCTGATCCTTTCTTCTGTATTCATTACAAGGATGATATTTCCTTTGAGGCAATGTTCTTGGTTAATGCAGAATGCACAAAAGCATTTTTAATCAGCACCAGTTGTCAGATTGTTTCTTTGATTTACTGAGGAGCCAACCAAAATATGTCAATGTGACTGCATTGAAGCACTTGCGCACTTACAACCACCCAGAATTTGATGTTGTAAGACACTTAAAGTTGTCCAAGATTGGTTGCTGAAGAATCATATGCTTTTCAAGGATCCTAAGCATTTGGATGACGTTTTTTTAAGTTAGGGGGTTGGTTATCACACCAACTAAAGCCTATTGTCTTCGGCCAGAGGTTGGACTTTCAAATAAGGTTCTTAAAAAATATAAGGAAGTTGCTGATCATTTTTTAAGGGTTATCTTTATGGACGAAGATATGCAGACAATCAACTCTCATGTTCTGAGGTCGGAGTGTTTGAAATGGTACCAGGCATGGTGTTTAGGTTGATAATTTTTTATAAAGGTTGAAACTTTCAGTAGTAGTTTGAAGAAATCTGTGTTTTTTCAAGAGAGAGAGAGAGTGGGGAGCAAGAGTCTGTGTTTTTCATTAATTAGAACAAAAGAGATTACAAGGACTATATTCCTCACAGCTGGTCAAAAACAAATCCTACACTCTAGAGACCTAGAACTCATCTCCGACCATTAATGGTCATCGGAGGATATCATCCATCCACTTGGAAGAAGATGAGGAAGCATAGTACAATTAAAAAGATAAGAACACCAGCTGTATTCTTTCTAAAACTGGAAATGAAACTAGCCGTTGTAATTTGAATCTAATGGCTTCTTCTAAATTAGCAAGTTTTTCATTTCTTCAAAACTTATCAGCTTCCTTTTGATTTCAACTGCAGGTTTAGCTTCTGCAGATTAACTCCAAGGCTAGTAGGCAGCTTAATTCTCAACAGCCTCTCCTAAGCTGCTTACTAGCTTAACTCCTAACTTCATCCTCAAGTAATTGAATCGATCCTTAGGCAAGGCTTTTGTAAATATATCTGCCAACTGTCCTTCACTTCTGCAGCAGTTCACATCAATGGATCCTTGCTGCAATGCTTCCCGAATAAAGTGATATTTCCTGTTTATATGTCTGGTTCTCTGATGAAAGACCGGATTTTTTACCATCGATATTGCTGACATGTTGTCACAAAACAATGGTGTTGCTTCGGTTTGCATTTCACCAAAATCATCCAACACAAACCTTAACCAGATAGCGTGAGCTGTTGCCTCAGCTGCTCAGACATACTCTGCTTCTGCAGTTGACAATGCAATTGTGTTTTGCTTGACTGAGGCCTATGAAAATGTACCACTACCAAAGCTGAATGCATACCCAGATGTGCTCCTACTGTCATCTTCACTGCCAGCCCAATCTGAGTCACAAAATCCAATCAAAACAGCATCCTTGTCCCTTGTAAATTCAATGTCATAGCTGAAAGTACCTTAAATGTATCTAAGAACTCTTTTAGCTATTCCCATGTGCTTCTTCGTGGGACCATGCATGAATCTTGATAGCAAACTGGCAGCATACATTATATCAGGCCTGGTTGCAGTTAAATATAACAGACTGCCAACAATTTTCCTAAACAAACCTTCATCAGCCAACTCATTTCCATCAACTTTCTTCAGTTTCTCACCAGTGGGTAGAGGAATTGTCACTGACTTACAATCCTCCAGGCCAAACTTTACGAGTAAAGACTTTGCATACTTGCTTTGATGAATAAAAACCCTTTTTATCAGTTTGTAGAACTCTCATTCCCAAGAAATGATGTAAGAGTCCTAAATCAGTCATCTCATATTTTTGCATCATGTCTCTTTTAAACTCATTGAGCAATGTATTGCTGCTTCCAATGTACACTATATCATCAACATATATAGAGACTATGATCAGATTTCCTTCTTCATCAGTTCTGGTATATAAGGTAGCCTCACTGGTGATCATTTTGAAATTGCAACTAGTGAGATAAGTGTCAATCTCACTGTACCAGGCTCTAGGAGCCTACTTCAAACCATAGAGAGTCTTCTTTAACTTATAGACCTTGTGACTTGCATTTTCAACTTCAAAACCCTCTGGTTGCTCAGTGTAAACCTCCTCCTCAAGTACTCCATTCAAGAAGGCTGACTTAACATCTAATTGGAACAGCTTCCAACCCTTTTGTGTTGCAAGTGCAATCAAGGTTCTAATTGTATCTAACCTTGCCACTGGGGCAAATGTTTCATTATAATCAATACCAGGTTTCTGGGCATACCCTTTTGCCACAAACCTAGCCTTATGTTTTTGAACTGTTCCATCCAGATTCAACTTGGTTTTGAACACCCATTTGACTCCTATGACTGGTTTGTCTGCAGGCCTCCACCAGCTCCCAAGTTCCATTATTTTCAATAGTTTCAATCTCAGCTTCCATTGCTTCCTTCCATGCTTTTTCTTCAATAGCATCATGATAGGTTTCAGGTTCAATAATGGTCATATGACATCTTGCATAGATGTCCTCCAAGCTTCTCAGCTTTACTGGTGTATTGCTTGGTGTTAAACCTTGACTGGTACTGGCAATGTTGCTTCCAGGGACATATTCATCATCTGAGACTAATTGAATGAGATTTGGAGAGTCAATGATGTGAATTTCATGAGGGGATTCTTCAGTTTCAATTATCTCAGAATTTTCATTTCCAATTGTGAGAGGCATGTAGACAGTTTCATCTTGCTTGCTTTCCCAATTCCAGGACTTGTTCTCATCGAATACAACACTTCTTGAGAGTATGATCTTCTTAGTTTGAAGATTATAGATCATGTAGCCTTTCTCACAACTGCCATACCCCATAAAGATTCCCTTGCTTGCTTTGTCATCAAATTTCTATCTAAGATTTGATGGAAAGTGACTGTAACAGATACTTCCAAACACTCTCAGATGTTTTACACCTGGTTTTCTCCCTATGAAAGCTTCAAATGGTGTTTTGTCTTAGACTGCAGTGGTATAACACCTATTTTGCAGATACACTGCAGTGCCAACTGCTTCAGCCCAAAACTTGACAGGAATTTTCTTCTCAGACATCATTGATCTTGCCATTTCTCCAATGGTTCTATTTCTTCTCTCAGCAACCCCATTTTGCTGAGGTGAGTAGGCAATAGTCAGTTGCCTCTCCATGCCAAGATCACTGCAATACTCAAGGAATTCATGTGAGGTGTATTCTCCACCTCTGTCACTTCTTAGTTTCTTCAATTTGAATCCACTTTGAAGTTCAACAAATGCTTTGAATTTTTTGAACACATTTATCACATCTGACTTGTTTCTGAGGAAATATACCCAACACATCCTTGAGTAATCATCAATGAATGGGATGAAGTATTTGTTCCCTCCAATGGACTCATTTTGCATTGGACCACATACATCCGTGTGCACCAATTCAAGTGGATTGTTTGCTCTCCAAGGTTTCTCATTCTCAAATGGTTCTCTGTGACTTTTACCATACACACAGCTTTCACATACTCCTTCTTTTTCTGAGAAATCAGGTAAACCCAACACCATTTGTGTTTGCTGTATTTTCTTCATGCTAGTAAAGTTCAAATGGCCCAATCTTCTATGCCAAACCCATTGATCTTCTTGTATTGCTGCTTTCCTTGCCACTGAGTTGACAGATTCCATAGACAATGGAAAACATCTATTTCCAGTCATTGCAACTTTAGCAACAACATTATCAAGACTACTATCATCACATATTAATGCATAGTTTCCTCCAAATAGAATGTAGTACCCATGCTCCATCATTTGCCCTATGCTCAGTAGATTTTCATCTAATCCAAGAACTAACAGCACTTCATTTATGTACCTTCTCCCTTTTCGTGTCTTAACTACAAGTGTCCCTTTTCATGTGGCTTGAACAAGGTCTCCAGTGCCCATTTTTACTTTGTAGGTCACTGACTTATCAAGGTTAATCAATAAGGACTCTTGAGAGGTCATGTGGTTGCTGCATGCACTATCCACAAACCACACAGACCTGCTTGATGCAATTGAACTTGCATGACAAGCATAGAACATGGTTGCTGTGATTGCATCTTCTTCCTTTGCACAGTTTGCAACTTGTTTACCATTGTCACAATCCTTAGTTAAGTGACCAAATCGATTGCACCTTCCACACTTGGCTTTTCCTTTATATCTGCACACACCAAAATGGTATTTCTCACAGACTTGGCACTGTGGTTTTACACCACTTTGACTATTACTCCCTTGCTTGTTCTGTGGATTGGATTTATTGTTCCAGTTTCCCGCAAAGTTGTTGTTCCAGCTTGAACCACTGGTATTGTTCCAGTTTCCATTTTGAGACCAATTTTTTCCCTTCTTATATTGACTCCATTTTGGATTTGTCTTGTACTGAGACCCTTTGAAATTTCCAGTGCTATTTCCATTTCCTCTAACTTTAAGACTGTTGAAAGCCCTCTCAGTACTTGTGTATTTATCTCTTTCATCATGCAAATCTTCTCTTTTATCATAGACTTTCACTGAAGCTAGGACTTCCTCAACTCTAATAGTGTCTAGATCTCTGGTTTCTTCAATGATTGACACTATGGACTTATTTCTCCTACTTAGACTCATCAACAGCTTTTGAACAATTCTTTTCTCTGTTACATCTTCTCCTAGAGATTTCAAGTTGTTTACTATCTCAAAGAACCGAGCCAGGTAGTCATCCAAAGATTCAACATCATTCATCCTTAGATATTCAAAATCAGCTCTAATGGCTTGTAATTTCACAGCTCTTACCTTTTTATCTCCTCTGAACTCTCTTCTCAGGATGTCCCAGGCACCTTTTGCAGTCTTCTCATTCCGAATTCTAGGAAAAAGTTCATCAGTGATTGCTCCTTGAATGAGACTTAGAGCCTTGGCATTCTTGATATTTTTCTCCTTTGAGACAACTGGTCCTTCAACTGGAATGTGCTCTGACTCGCTTTCTCCTTCTTCCTTAGAAACTTCCTCTCTGGGAGTTTGTTGTTCAGCAAGGCCAGCTTCAACCACATCCCATGGATCATAGGCTATGAGAATGGTTTCCATTTTCACGGCCCAAAAATCGTAGTTTGAGCCATTAAATTGTGGTGTTCATAAATCACCACCGGATGAGCTTGATCCAGCCATCTTCTCAGGTAACACAGCTCAAATGGTTATAAAGGTACCACCTTTAAGGTTTTCTGAATTTTTTTTTTTAATGGATCTCTCTCACAGTATCACGCCATTTCTTCGGAATCAGACCTAGTGCTCTGATACCATGTTTGAAATTGTACCAGGCATGGTGTTTAGGTTGATAATTTTTTATAAAGGTTGAAACTTTCAGTAGTAGTTTGAAGAAATCTCTGTTTTTTCAAGAGAGAGAGAGAGTGGGGAGCAAGAGTCTGTGTTTTTCATTAATTAGAACAAAAGAGATTACAAGGACTATATTCCTCACAGCTGGTCAAAAACAGATCCTACACTCTAGAGACCTAGAACTCATCTCCGGCCATTAATGGTTATCGAAGGATATCATCCATCCACTTGGAAGAAGATGAGGAAGCATAGTACAATTAAAAAGATAAGAACACCAGCTGTAATCTTTCTAAAACTGGAAATGAAACTAGCAGTTGTAATTTGAATCTAACGGCTCCTTCTAAATTAGCAAGTTCTTCATTTCTTCAAAACTTCTCAGCTTCCTTTCGATTTCAACTGCAGATTTAGCTTCTGCAGATTAACTCCAAGGCTAGTAGGCAGCTTAATTCTCAACACGGAGGGTGCTCCTATTTTGAAGGAAATTATGGCAGCAAACCCCTCTGCTCAGGAAACAAATGTATTCAGAAGGATGCATGCCATTTTGACTGAAGGATTTTACTTGTGGTCGTATGTACTCTTTCTTCGGCTTCTCATTCAATCATTTGAGCAAAACCGTTCTGCCTGGTTTTTTGCTGAAGGCATGAATATTACCATCTGTGACATCAAAAGTTGGATGGGCCAATACTTTCCGTCTACATCTGCAACAACACCTTTCAATGGGATTGGTAAGATTGCTCCTGCCCTGGCAATGAAAGTTACTTTTTCGGTGTTTTACTTAGAAATTTTTGTATTAACCCGTTAGATACGTTGTTTACCTACCATTAACAAACAGGTTCATGTCAACAGTGACAAGCTTCTGATGTGGAACCTTTCAGTGTACGGAAAACTATCAAGTTGAAGCAAACATGGCCGACAATCAAAGTGTATGCATTATCGACATTTTGCTACTGAATCAGTAACGTCCATGCGCATCGTGCAACATTATGAATTTTGATGTTTAAAATCTCAACATTATACTTAAGGGAACTACTATGCCCATTGTGCAACGTTATGAAAAGTGATTCTAATTACTCCCTTGTGCAAACTGATTCTAAATATCATTTTACGAAAAATGATTCTTAATATCATTTTATGATAATTAATTTTGTTATGATAACTGATTCTGAATACCATTTTCTGAAAACGGATTATACATTATATATCTGTACAAGGTAACAAAACTGATCTAATAATAGCTTCCAAAAAAATTAAAATAATCCATGTATTTAACTTTAATCTTTCCCGGGCCCCACGGCCCTTTTTTCTTTTTTTTTTGAAGAACGGCCCAAATTTGTTTTTACCTAAGTTTTTATGATTGTTTGTAGAATCCCTTCTGCAAAGCTTCCCTGTCCCTTCACTAATCTGAAAAGCTGTCTCCTATTATGTTTTTAACTTTAGTCTAACCGTGAGCCCATGTGTTTTATTTCTACAGTAGCAGGATCTGATTCTTAGAGCACTTCTAGTGATGAGCTTTATATGAGGTTGAAAAAATGGTGAATATAACTCATTTTAAGGCTTTGAAGAATTTTTGGACTTTATAAAATAATCTCTTGTGAGAACCTATATTTTGAAAATATATTTATCTAAAAATATTATTCATAAGATTAATTTTGATTTTTTTTCAATTACTACATTTTAAACGCATGATTTTCTTTCCAACCTTATTCCTATTTTTTTTTATGACGTTGTTCTAGATGTGCCCAATAAGCACCCTAGTTGTTGACTGTTGGGAGCTACAATCTAGGCGTGGCATGAAATGATTTAGGATTGAATTAGAGCTACTTGTGAGCAGTCTTGCGGCTGTACGTGGCAAATGAGATGTCAAGGTGTTTATCATGCAATTGACACCGCTTGCATGCATAAACTTGGCCTTTACGCTTTCGGATTTGGTGGTAATCTCGCCATTTTGTCAACCAATCATGGACTAGTTTCTAGCCTCCACTTTTCCTATAAATAGGAGAGCATCTCCACTTTTCCTATATACATTGGGTCCCTTTACAATAGGTTCCAGTTAACAGTTTCTCTTCTTGTTGAGTCTTCTTTCACGCCTTCTTGCTGTTTAACTCTGTTTCTTTGCTGCTTAACTCTCTATTTCTCCAACTACAATACCGTAACACAAGTACTCATGTCGCAGATGCATTTCTTGTTGCCGCATGAGATTCTCGACCCCACATTAATCCAGAAACTAAAGCCAAGACAGTGCAACACAAGTACTAATGTCGCGGATGCGTTTGTTGTTGCTGCATGAGATTCTCCATCCCACATTAATCCCAGAAACCAAAGCCAATAACCACAGTGCAACACAAATATGCAAGCCACAAATGCGTTTGTCGTATATGATTCTGATGATGTTGATGACAGTAATTCTTCACTGTCATTCTCGAAATCTGATTATTATGATGAAGATGATGAGAATGATAGTGATTCCTTACTGTCACTATATGTGCACAGAAGCGCTAGTCCCAAAAGATAACCGTGATCAACTTTGCATGGGATTTAATAAACCTTCAAACGATATTTCCAGTACCACATACGAATAAGAACTTGAGTCCAATAGCTGGAAAAGCGATTGTTTCACTTTGCTTTTGGATGATTCAAACTCTACCCATTATCAAGATCATGATCAAGATAAAGACTCTCCTCATATTCCACTCTCTCCGCCGCGATTTACTTTCTACTTTGATTGCAATTTGTGTTTGAAATTGGCACAAGATCCAATTGTGACTTCTTGCGGGCATTACTGCTGACCTTTGTCTCTACACTTGGTTGAACATCTGCAGCTTTTCAAAGGAGTGTCGTGTTTGCAAGAGTAAGCTGACTGATTCATTGATCACTCCTATTTACTGCAGCAAAGTCCTCAGTTTTTTGCCACCAGGACCAACGAGGCTTCATCCTCTCGATTAAAGCAGCAAAAATATTATTTACTTAATTAGTTTATTATGTAATTCTTTTTACTAGTTGATGTAGATGCAATTACTGTTAAGCTCAGAAAGAAGCTAGATTCTGTACTCTGTAAGTAGTATGCTAGCTGAACCAACTTTCAATATCTTTACAAATCACTTCGTTAGTTCACTCCCTAATATTTTGCTGCTTCTTTCTTTTTGTTTTATGTTTTTGTTGAATTTGCAGTCTCTTTTCACTTACAAGTAAGAATTCTCATGTTCAACTCTCATAAGTGGCAAGTGTCGATGCAAATTTCTGCCTTCTTCAGTCTTGACAAAAATGCACCTACAAAATAATCAACATCCTTGATCAAAGACCTAAGCCTCACGAGCCCGCAAGGTGTGGAGGGGGGCGGTTAGGCCAATGGATCTTCAATGCCTAAGTTAGTTTCTCTGAAAAAAGTAAGTGTTTAGGGCTTTTAGGAGTAGCAAAAGCTTACCGAAATATAGTAGAGATGAAGGTATTTATAGGAGGAGGGACCGGCCATGGTGTTAGGGTTTTACCCTTCACATGGTAGCATTCTATTGGCCCTAGTTTATAGATAAAATATTCTCAAGATATTAAATAGGAAATAATATCTTGAGATAATGGTGTAAATATCTCTAATTGATTTAAATAGTGATTACTTAGTTGAATGGAGTCAATCTTCAATTGTGAATGTATTAAAAATAGGATTTGGGTAATTAATCCTTATTTGTAATGCTTTGACTTTTCCTTGTCTGCTCATTTAATGAAGGCAATCTGGTCTTTCTGAAGCAAAAGTCCACTTGCCGCCTCTATGATTTTTGAAATTATTTTAAGCTCCACAAATGCCCCCACACATTCTAGGCTACATGTAGAAAATGGGCAATTGGTGTAGAAGTCCTAAGCTGCATGGGTGTGTAGAGTTGTTTTCCAATTTGATGTAGATCTCCTTCTTTGACTTGGAGATAGACTCTTCTAGGAAAAGGAAACCAATTTCCCCCAATACCTATTAATTCTGCCTTAAGCAGGGGATTAAATAAATTTGGAGAACAATCTTCATTCCAACAAGGAAGAGAGAAATTAGAGGAAATTTATTCTCCCTCCCCTAACTATCTTCTTCTCTTGCCCTTGCAAAGAGTCATTTCTCGTGGTTCTTCTTCTTCTTTGTGCTGCACCAAGGTATGAAAAAGGTAATTTTCTCTGTCTTTTTGGGTGGTGCTGCCGCGGGGCAGTCGTTGGGGTCGTGCTACTAAGGGCAGTCGTCGACATGCAAGGGCCAAAAGTTGGCTCGGTGTGGGTCGAGGAGGTGGCATAGTAGAGGCCACGAGTTGGGCTGCTCAACTCAACTGGAGCCAAAGATAGCTATGTAGTTGAGGTTACGACTTGAGGCGCTAGGGCACAATGCAAAGTGAACCATGGGGCTTGAGCTCCCTCTAGGGGCCTGAATCTGACATGGGCTAGTCAGGTGTGTCGTGTGGTGTGGAGCAACTGAGTTATCACCATAGGTTGCTCGACTCCTTGAGAAAATGTGATCATAAGTGGTGTTTGCTTCATCTTAGGTCAATTTTTACAATTTTGGCTATGTAGACCATATCTAGGGTAGGCTGTCAAATTATGAATTTTCCGAGAAGGACTTCGAGACTTTCTTCATTTCTTTAGTTGATCTGATTGACTTCTCGTTTAAGGTTGCCTTTGGTAGAGCAGCTGAGGGTTTGGTAGGGGCGGTTGAGGATGAGATGATGGAAGCTTTGGCTGTTAAGAGTGGTGTGCTTGCTAAAGGCGTGGCAGTCGAGAAACCAATGATTATG